AAAAAAAAACAGAATAGAGCAGGATTTAAACCTACATGTATTAGGATTTGCCTTACAAAGTTCCAATAAATGGTTTAATCAAACTTATGCCTTGCATGAACTACATGTACCAATTGAGACTGATGTATTAAGTTACAGTACTTTCAACACTCAAATGAAAAGTGCTCTTATCACGATGGTTTCGTGAAATGATCTCACACTGGGTAACTTTTCAACCTATTTTATTCGCCTTGCAAGTCTGTTCAGCATTTACAAGCTCTCTACTCTCACCTCGTCCTCACTCAAACAGTCTAAACCGGTTTCTAATAATATCAGTCCCTCACGTCATGCACTTGTCACAATGCGTCTTTTTTTTGTTCTGACACTCTAATGCAATGTCTTGATTAGTAACTTTTATTAGTAGTTCTTTAAACGTCTTTACCTCTCTTGAGAAAATGATAAACCAAGCCTGTTGCTATCATCATTTGCCCACTTCTCAGCATACAACCCCAGCCACAGTCAGTTGTCAATGCGGAGTCTCCAAGTTGGGGAATTTCTCGCCGATATGTCAACCAGATTAAAGAATTAAAGTCTCTTTGAAATTCATCCATACTCAAAACCTTACTCTTGTCAGAAGATTGCACACCACTGAATTCTGTAACAAACGAAAGTTCTGAGTAGTCAATGCATGACATGTCAAATATATGCCACTGAACTATGGTTAACAAAACAGATGGACAATAAAATAACAATATAACCACAATATTTAGAAAAGAAGCCACATCAGCTTTAGACGGTTTTCATGTGTGTCCTCTATCCTGGTCAAATTGGAATTCTGAGATGTTGGTTTTTATGGAGGGAGGAAAACCGGAGAACCTGGAGAAAAACCCTCAGAGCAAGGCAAGAGCCAATAACAAACTCAACCTGCATATGGTACCCAGCCATAATCAAACCTGAACCACATTGGTGAGAGGCAAGCACTCTCACCTCTGCACTATCTCTGCTCCCCAATATGGCCATATTAAGTGAAGTTATTATTTTGGACAATGATTTTAAATTTACTACATCCATGCAGTTTTCATTGGTTGAACAATTTTTCAGTTACATCAGCTGCAAGTAAGCGAGTTGGTTAGTTACTGTAATAAACATACACTTTGGATTTTATTTGAGCTGGTTGGAATGTATTTTAACATGACTTTGTTGTCATTCAAAAATGTTGATCAACTATTTAAACAATAACAACAAAATAGATAAATTGAAGCTTTTTTAACAGAACAATAACAAAAGCCAGACAAAGTATGACAGACAATCCTAATGGAATGGTAAAAAATATTGAATGAAATGAAATAAAACTAAATTTAACAATTTACCGTGATTCCTAGCATGATAACACCTTCCTAAAAGCCATATTGGTGAATCCTCATTGAAATGTGCTTTAAAGGGCACAACAAACCCTGAGAAAGACCACAAGATAAAAACAAGGTCATGCTACAGTTTGAAGAAACTTTCAGTAGCACCATCAAGGAGCTGGTTTTTCAGCCCTAAGGCAATTACCATATAATAGGGCGTGAATGTCAAAGGATGGAGTGTAGAAATAGGTAGGGTAAGTACATGTAAGTGGTAGGTGTGTTAGTTAGCAATCCTCCGTAGGACAAAAGATGGCAACTGGTACATTTACCCATAGTTCTTAGCAAGCGAAAGCCTTAACAATGTTCATAAAAATGCACAGAAGAGTTACAAAATCTTTAAACCTAGCATACACAATGTCCTTCATACAGGGACAAATATTGTAAAAATTTGGCTTTCTTTGTGCCTCACAGGCTGTGTTAGGTTCGCAAGGTATTGTGGTAAAATTTACAGCTGTCATCTTTTTTCCTACGATGGATTATTTCCATTGATTTTATCAGTGGCATGATACGTGGTGGTTCCTGCTGTCAGGGTTGCCATAGATATCTGCATGCTCCACTAGATGGCTCTGTCTTGCCTGGTCCTACCATCCCTTAACCACCTTAGGCTCAACTGCAGAATACCTTGCCACTTGAGTTAATTCATTCATGTGCATTTCTCGTCCTTTAAACATATGTGTGCAAATAGTATCGAGAACAATAGTGGTAGGGTATTCTGCGGTTGCTCCCCACCTTTAATTTAGCATGCTCTTTGATTGGCGATGATGAGTTTTTTCTTTATTGTGTCATTCAGATGAGTTCTAAATGCCTTGGTCAGTCAAAATATAAATGCATTTGGAGCTGCAGCACAGAGTTTTGGAAGACATTACACATTTTTTTTTCTCTGATTATATTGGGTATTAAATGGCCACCCTTAAGGAAATGGATAGTGGCCGCTTAATAGAGGTAAAAACAATAGAGACTTTGATTACTGGTCGCCTTTTAGGGGTGGCCGCTTGATTAATAAGGGTTGGACTGTCTAAGCCTATCTACATGGAATTTTTGATCTGCTACAGGTAGATGTGCTGTATTTGGAAAGGTCCTCAAATATATATTTTGTCAAAAGCACTCTTTACTCGCAGTGGCTTCAATAACCTCTCAGGAAAGGCACCGAAGAAATCTAAACATGACATTTTCACACACGGCTGACACAGATCGCACAAAAAGATTAAGCATATTTAAGCTAGGCTTATTAAGTCTTGCAACCTTTCAACCCACCATGTCGCATATTATTCCACATCGACATCAACCTTGTCTTCAGTTTTTCACCATCAAAGAGCTCATCATCTTCGCTATCGCTAGAGTCTCTATATTCTCTGGATTTCTGACTAGAAGTACTTCTAACAAGTCGGCTGGAGCCCAACTTCCCAGCTGTGCCCGCCATCTTGGATCGTTTTGTTTTGGGAACTTCTCGGAACCACACCGGGTAACGCCATTTAGCCCTTACCATATTTGTGCTAGCTCGTTCCCGTGTCTCTCGCGGTTCAAATAGCTTGCGTGATCTGAAATTCAGATGAGATCTGACTTTTTTGGATGAAAAAACACGCTAAAACGAATGTAAATGGCTTGTTATTTTGCACGTTAGCAAAGCTTGAGGAAGACACTTCAATAAGAAAATTAGTGAGGATAAAAAAAAAAATGTGTTTCTCTATTGTTGTCACATTTCCATGTCAGTTTGTAAAATTATTTTTACTTGTCTTATATTTATGCGCATATTTAAAGAAATAGTTAGGCACGTACGAACTCTGGCCCTGAAGTATTAAACCTTGATAATTGACATCTCGACGATGTCAAAACGTTGTTTGTTTTCATTCTCGCTAATTTTCTTATTGAAGTATCTTGTCTTAGAATTTCTTCTTGCAAGATTTGCGAGATCGGAAACAGCGTGTTAACAACACTAGTCCAAAAATTACAAGCATTTAAACTCTTTTGTATACACAAACATTCTTTATTTTGACAACTTCCGTCGCGACTTATTATCACGTGATCTTATTTGGCGCGGAAAAGACGATGACGACAACATTAGCCAATCACAGCCGAGTATTTCACGTGCTCAGCGGTGAAGAAAAAGCTGCCTGATTCCGAAAATATCTCACCTTTTCGATTTCGCTCTTGAAATTGCTCGTTGCACCCCTTGAGTTTTGAGTTAAGTTCGACTTTGAACACTGCAAGAACGTAAATTACCTGTAGGTTTTTCGAGAAGGGAGTTCTTTTGTGGTGCAGATCTTGTAATCAAGGGTACCAGCAAGCGAAGAACAACATGTCGGACGAGTGGGAAAATGGCGGCTCTACGGCGGTAAGTCCACCTACATGTGATAACTTGTAACCTCCTTTTTTAAAGTAAACCTCTCTGAATTGATGCGATGTGTTTCTGTTATTCCCTAGACTGCGTTTGGTGGTGGTGGTGGTGGTTTTGGAGCGAGCAAAGGTCGAGGTTTTGGCTTGGGCAGTGACAGCACTCTCGAAGAAGCCCCGAGACGAAAAGGTTTTGGTCGAGGTGGGTTCGGCGTTCAAAGCACCAACAGCGAACAAACGAATGGCTGGGACGGTGGCAGCCAGAGTACATTTGGTGCTAATAAAGGTTTTGGCCGAGGTGGCGGAGGTTTCAGTGGAAACAGCGACAGTTCAAGTTCTGCACGTGGTTTTGGTAGTGGAGGCAGTGGGGGATTTGGCAAAAGCGGCGGCTTTGGAGGCGGCGGCGGCGGCGGCTTTGGGAATAAGACTGAAAATGACGAGGAGCAAAATGGTACTGGAGGTGGAGGGTTTGGTTCCAAAAGTGGTGGTGGCTTTGGAGGGGGCAGCGGGTTTGGCAGTGGTAGTGGTGGTGGTGGCGGGTTTGGCAGTAGTGGCAGCAGCGGTGGCTTTGGTAAGGGTGGTGGTGGCGGGGGCAGCTTTGGAGGAGGAGGTGGTGGTTTTTCAGGTGGTGATGATGGGGAAGATGGTGGTGGCCGAGGTGGTGGCTTTGGCGGCGGTGGTAGAGGTGGTGGTGGTGGAGCTTGTCATAGTTGTGGTGAAGAGGGGCACTTTGCAAGGGACTGCCCTAGTAAGAGTGAGAGAGGAACTGCTTGCCACAATTGTAAACAAGAGGGGCATTTTGCCCGCGATTGTACAAATCCTGCAGAGGTTGATGAAAGTAAGTGGGCTTCTGTGACTGACAGACACTTAACTTTGTACATTTGTAGTAATTAAGCTTTGCGATATACAACACCAGGTGGAACACACAAGTTGTCTGAAAGTAATGTCCCATTTCCACTTATCATCCTTGCTTTGGGACCTGCTATAGCATAGTTGATGCATTAATTGCACCGACTACAGTAAAGTAGGTAAACAATAAATTATTTTGTCATGCTGACTAGGTTCAAATGAATCTTTTTTCTCTCGCTGCTGTTGCAGGCGTTGCAGTGTTTATTTCAGATTTTTCCTTTTTTGATTTTTGTGCTCTTGTTTTGTAGGCAGGCCTGCTCCAGTGACCTATGTACCTCCGGAACCATCAGAAAGTGAGGAAGAGATGTTTCATTCTATAGAACGGGGCATCAACTTTGATAAATATGATGAAATCCCGGTAGAAGTTACAGGAAAGGGAAAGGAAAGCATCACTCCGATCCAAAAGTTTGAGCAGGCTGGACTGAGGGAAAAATTACAAGAAAATGTTGCAAAAATTGGCTATACAAAACCTACACCTGTGCAGAAGTATGCTATACCATGCATCCTGGCTGGAAGAGATGTCATGGCCTGTGCTCAGACCGGATCTGGAAAGACGGTAAACTTGTCTTCTGTTTGTGATTTTCAGAAATATAACAAAGTGACAGAGTAACTTGAATAAACAGACTTTTTCTTTAAGGAGGCGTAATTTCCCCCCTGTGGAAAAGATGTCTGAAATTTGAGAGGAAATCCTCTGTATTGATGACATAGCGCTATAATGATCCATTGGTTTTAGTGCAGTGTTGTCTGTAAGCACCAGAAACCAGTATGAAAATTGCTGTCTTGTTTGTCTGGGTGTTCCAGAGGCCTAGTCTTGATATTTTTCAGGATGTGAAGCGTGCGCACATGTAAGGAAAAAATCTTGGCATTCTGTTTCTTTATTTATCCGTTATTATGACCTCTCCTCTCCTCTCTCCACAGGATTCTTCCTGTCATTATGTATTATGGATGGACAATAGAAAAATTACATTGTTAAATTTGAGTCTGGAAATTCATTCTTCACCAAATTTGTATCAAAGAAGGCTTCCATCTGAAATCAACTTTCCTGTTCAAGACCGCCATGAATGCTGTTGTTATGATTTTTTTAAGTGTACATGACAGACAATGTTTTATTTGCTTGATGGAATCTACACAAGTTCATTATATGGAAATGAAAAAAATGTGTACAGTTGCTTTTTGCTATCCGAAAATGTGAAATTTCACTTCTGGTTGGGTCAGAAACTGCGGGGGGTTAGGCTAGCCAGGCTGCGGTGTCAAAACAAGAACTTAGGTCTTCCTGTTTCTCCAACCAAAGAAAGAGAAACAAAAAAATATGTGAAATGTACTAGGAATTAGGCAACCAAGCATAATTCTAATTTAAGTTCAAAATTGTAAACATTTGCATAAGATATGTAGTAGACCTATGTTCTTGTATTGAGGTCACAGCCAATTTCAGATCCTAACTCCATGTGGTTTCTGACCCAACAGAAAGTGAAATTTCATGTTTTCAGATGGCTAAAATGTGGTGAAAAAACAACAATATGCAGTTTATTTTTTCAATTTCCATATCACCCTCTCACGTATGGATTCCATTAAGCAATTTATATTCTACTCTTTAGGCTGCTTTTCTCTTACCTGTGATGGATGGAATGCTCAACAGTGGTCTAACAAGCAGTGAACTGTCTGCCACTCAGACCCCCCAGGCTCTGTGCATCTCACCAACTAGAGAGTTGACCACCCAGATTTACAATGAAGCTCGCAAGTTTTCACACCAAACTATGCTAAGACCAGCTGTTGCTTATGGAGGAGTTAGTGTTGCTCACCAGCTGCGGCATATTGAAAGAGGTTGTAATTTGCTTGTGGCAACACCTGGACGACTTTTGGACTTTGTAGAAAGAGGAAAGGTAGGTAAACCTGTATGGTAAAAACAATCCATGATGGAAACGCAACCAGGAATCTTGACAGTTTTCTTTTTTGGAAAGAATATTACCTTGACAAGCTAATAAATTAAAAAACTACAGTAACTGTTGTCGGATGTTTCGATGTTGCTGGCATTATTATCAAGGTAAAAGTGACTGTTTTATTGTGGTGTGAATATAAATTAGCGATGGTTGTATGTGATCTTGCATAAATAGTTTTGCGCAGATAGAGTCAGTTCGCACATTCAAAGTTGGCTGTAGATCTTGAATAATTATCATTTTGTGGATAAGACAATGTTGTGGCATTTTTTCAATACCGAAAAGTTGTTAATTAAAACCAGTTTTGAGATCCTATTGGTGTTTCGAGATCTCAAGCCAACTTTGAATCTGCAAACTGACTCTATCCATGCAAAACTATATATGTGAGATCACATGTAAATGTTTGTTATACTAGCTAGTTCCACTAATTTATATTCACACCATGATACAACTGTCATTTTTATCTTGATAATGATGTCAGCAACATCAAAACATTGGACACCTATATTTTATTATTTCTATCATAAAATGTGGATGTGAAATATAGCTTGTTTATTCTTTTAGCTATTTGATCGTTAATGAAATTTTTGTCACCGCAGAAATAAGAAAGGCTTGAGGGAATATTTTCAACACAAATATTTGCGAGAGAAACTAACAACATTTCAACATCGTCGGATGTCATTGTCAAGGAAATGTGTAACTTAGTTTTGCATTATAAAAGGATCTCCAATTCTGGGCATAAGGTGGCAAAATACGTCACATGTCACACTTAACGTATTTTGCCACCTTATGTGCATAATAATTTTGTAGATTTTAAAGGAAAACTTGTGAAGAAACTGTCAGTCTTAATGAATGAGTGGAATGGATGGCTGTAAGTTGAGTCCAGGAGCTGCCACTATATCTGTCATTTTGTATTTTTATTTGGATAGGGAAATTTTATTTTTATCAGGGAAAAGTCAGGGAATTTTGAAAAGTGATGTTTGGCAACCATGTGTAATGTTATAACTCTTGTGCATTTTATTCATCAGGTATCTCTGCAGTGTATCCAGTATCTAATACTGGACGAGGCAGACAGAATGCTTGATATGGGGTTTGAGCCATCAATAAGGAAACTAGTGGAAACAATGGGAATGCCAGAGAAAGCTGACAGACAGACTCTTATGTTCAGTGCCACGTTCCCTGAAGAAATTCAACGCTTAGCAGGCGACTTTTTAAATGACTACATTTTCTTGACCGTTGGAAGAGTGGGTGGCACAACATCTGATATTCAACAGACAGTCTTGGATGTTCAAGAGGATCAGAAAAGGGAGAAGTTGACAGAATTACTAAGCCTCTCAGGTACACGAAGCAACGAAACCCTTTTGGAAATAATAGCTGCATCTTGGTAGTGTCTATGGTATAGTATTCTACAATGTGAAATGCAAGGGATAAATTGTTGTTGGGAAAAAACTAAGTAATTTTAGTACTGTTTTGGGTTAATAGCAAAGGAGGAATTGTGTTTTTGAACAAACTTTTCCTGCCTGATGAGTACATAAATAGTGCAAACGAGGCAACAAAAGTCAAATTATTTTCCACAAAAGAATCAAATTTAAGAAAGTGTAGCATTTCACCAGCAGGCTAGAGACCCTTCTACACTTCTTTTAACACATTGTTTTTCATATGGTAGGGACTGACAGGACTCTTGTTTTTGTGGAGTCAAAGCGTGGAGCTGATTTCCTTGCTAGTCTGTTGTCACAAGAAGGATTCCCCACCACAAGTATCCACGGGTAAGTAACAAATGAGAAAATTGTTTGAGGTTTTACACCCGCTTTCAGTGTTACATGCAAGGGCAACATCTTTTGGCCATCTTTCAACATGCTATGCAAACGACTGAAAAATCGTTTAACCATGAAACTGGCAATTTTTCTGGTTATTAGTGGAAGAAATGACAAATGATAATTGCTCACCTCAGTTGGCTGAAGAGGATTGTGGACTTTGCAGGTTTCCCAATTTACGAGATAAATCAAACGATTTTAGTGTAGTCGATCAGCTCTCAATAGTGACCTCCGGTAGAATTGGGTCTCTACCGTGTTTAGTATTCGTAAGATGTAAACATCCAAAACAGCTGATTAATCACTCACAGAATGACTTCTTCCAAACTTTTTGGATGTTTAGTTTAAATTTCAGAAAATGAATGTGCTGAAGTTGTAACTGAAAATAGAGAATGTTTGATCTCCACATCTTTTTAATATGTCAACCATTTAAAGGAATTGTCCAAGTTTGTTTCAAGACTAGAAGTTTTTCTGTCAATTGTTAAAGGAAAGTTTTGGTTATATTACTGGACATTAATTTTCTCATTTGTTTGAAAATTTCTAAGCAAAAGTTGTGTCTATTCCAGTGACCGTTATCAGCAAGAAAGAGAGGAAGCACTCAGGGACTTCAGGAGAGGCAGTTGCCCTGTACTCATTGCTACCAATGTTGCTGCTCGTGGTTTGGACATTGACAATGTTAAACATGTTGTAAACTATGACCTGCCATCGGAAATTCATGAATTTGTACATAGAATTGGAAGAACTGGGCGTATAGGACATCAAGGGAAAGCCACATCTTTCTTCCAGCGAGGAAAAGATGACAATATTGCAAGGGCGCTTGTGAAAGTCCTCTCTGATGTAAGTACTGCATTGAGTATGAGTTTGAGTCTATATGTTTCAGAAGAATTGTAACTAGTTTATATCTCCAGTTAGTGACTATTTTGGCATCCAATGTGTGCCAAATTGCTAGATCCTGTGGGTGATTGCCTCATAGCAAAAAATTTCAGTTGAAAGCCAAATTGATCAAGCAGGTTACAAAAAAATCCATTCAGAAATTTTGGAGTGCATCCAGAAATCCAAAGATTAAATGTTCAATCCTAAAGTCCTACGTGTAGTCTTTTGTTTGTAGTCTGACATACTGTTTTCATTGCAGGCTTCACAAGAAGTTCCTGAGTGGTTGGAAGAGATTGCCGAGAGTGCAGTAGGCACCAGTTATGGCCCAGCAGGGGGACGGTTTGCCTCCAGGGACACCAGAAGACAGGTAGATCATTTCACTATAACCTCAGTTTAGATGTATGGACAGGAAAAAGTATGTTTTGGGGGGAAATTTCATTGTAGCACCCACTGCTTTCTCTGTAGCCTAGTGTTAGAGCACTTAACTACTCTCTGGAAGGCCATGGAATTGAATCCTGTGAGGGACTATGATTTTTTATTCATCACACGCTCGCATAGTACACATTTGGCTTTGACGCATGTCACGTATAATCCACTGAGCAAGTCTCCCTTGCTCAGTGGTGTAAGTGACTGTTATATC